CCGGACTGGACCAACCTCCATTCTGAGCCCCCCTCCCCATTACGGACAGGATGGCATCCCAGTCTATGTTGGACGCCGACACTGAGGACGCCAACATTGAGCTGCCCCATTTTCCAGTCTGTACTGGACTACTCTGCCTCCCCTGACTGAGCTGAAACCCCACTCTGGGACCGCCCCCCTCCCTGGCTAAATAGGACCATTTATCTGCTCCTCCCTAGGCCCCACAACCCTACTAAGGGCCAGTCAGAAGTCCACGGACTACTCCTCGACCCCAGACTCTGCCGCAACCTTTCCCTGACTTGAAGGGTAGAGTGTGCTTGGGAAGTTGCTATAGCAACAGGGCTCAGCCTCACCATCGGTGTAGCTGGAAGCCATCACTCGGTCTTCTTCTTAGGGAACTTGGACTACGGTGGCTGGGAAGGCTCATGAGACCTCAGTACAAAATTGGAGGTCCATCCCCAGATCCCTGCCTGTAGGGGGAGCCAGGGAGTTATGGGGTGGGAACAGGAAAAAATACACGACCTAAGCTAGTGGGTGCAGGGAAAGGGCAGGTAGGATCCTTCAAGGTTTTCTTGTTCCAACTGAGAGTAGGGCAAAGCTACCCGGGCAGGACCCTCATGAGCACCCATATAACTGCCAAGGCACGGAAGCGGATTGACCCTCTTGGGCCACCGTAGGAGATTAGCCGGCAAAATTTCTTCCCTCTTACGGATTTTTGAGGGGGTGGTGGTGGTGGTGGTCTCCTTTCTTCAGTCCCAGATCTACTTGTCTTTGGGGCCTGTGTGGTTTCTGGGAGGGGGCTCCCTCTTACAAGCGCTCCCTCTTCCTCTGTGGGCCAACTCCCACGGGTGTGTTTAGCCAGTGTTAGCAAAGACCTGAGGCCCACTTGGCTGTCTTATCACGGGAGTCTCCTGGGGCTGCTGCCCTCTCGGTTCCCGCAGCGCGGACAGAGTTCGGGACTTGCTCTTTGTTTCTGCCCTCTCCGCTTCTCGCTCTGGCTCCTCCGATGGCACTGTCGCCTGCGGGTGCACAATGCCCCCATCCCACCCAACCCCGCGCTGGTGCTCAATACCCGCTCTTTTGGGAGGAGCAGACCCTGCCCGGCCCTGCTGCAGAACTGACAGCTTGGGGGACGGAGGGTCTTTGCCTGGTGCTGCTCATGGTTTGGGCTTGGCCATTTTGCGGGGCCGGTTAGGCTGATACATGCCAGATGAAATGGAGGTGCCCCCTGCAGGAGGCTTGGCTGAAGGAGGGCAGATTTTGTGTGATTCCACCCTAGAATCAGAGGCTTCCGCAAAGACGTCCCTTCCTCATGTGTCCCTCTTTGCGGGGGTGGGGTGGGGGGGGTATAGCTTCCGGCATTTTCCAAAGTGCGACATGGCCCGCTCTCAGAATGTGGCATTACTTTAGGGATATTTTGTTTATGTAGTTACACTGTATTTTAACGTGTATCAGAGAATGCAACTGGTATAGCAATCTCACGATTTACAATTTTTTTGCAGTAGTAGGGGTGGAACCCAAGGCCTTTACACTGAGCTACATCTTTTATGTCATTGCTTAGTTTATCTCTGGAGAGTAAAAAAAGATGTTTTTTCAGTACTGGAGTGTGAACCTAGCATCTTCACACAGAACTACATCTCCAGCCCTTTTAAATTTAAGACGGTTTTTCTCAGTCATTAAATTGCCTAGGCTGGACTTGAACTTTCAATCTCTTTGTTTCAGTCTCCTAGAGTGCTGGAATTACAAGAATATGCCTCCAAGCCTAACTTATGTTTTCCTTTTCTGTCTTGAGACAAAAGTCTTCTAATATAGCCCAGATTGATTTGGAACTTACCATCCTCCTGCCTCAGCCTCCCAAGTGCTGCGATTACAGGTATGTGCCACCACATTCACCTAATTTTTATTATTTTATTTTGAGATGAGGTCTCACTGTGTTGGCCAGGCTGGTTTTGAACTGGGCTGAAATGATTCTCTCACCTTAGTTTCCCTGGGAGATATGACTACAGGTGCTTGCAACGGTGGTGCTTGGCTTTTATCATTTTATTTGTTATTATTTTGGTTTTTTTTGAGAAAGAGTCTCATGTAGTCCAGGCTGGCCGCGAACTCACAGTGATTCTCCTGATTCAGGCTTCTAGGTGCTGAGGTAACAGGTGTGCATCACCATACCTGGAGCTTTTATAATTTTAAATTAAGAAAGTATATGTGAGTGGGCTAAATATACGTGAAGCAGCTTAAGAATATCAGAGTTGGGAGATTTTGGGGTCCAGGAAGTTTGCTGGGAGACAGATCTGGAAGTGAATCCTGTCCTTGTGACATCATCTGTGTCATACTCAAATAGCTTATTTGGAAAATTTGGATAACAGCCCATTATGAAAAATCACTGGAACAGATATGTCTACGGAGACCATTTAGCTTGGCACATCCTAGAAGCCCAATAAATAGTAGCTCTATTTCATGGTGATCGTCCATTCCTGAGTGTCTGGCCCGCGTGCTCAGAGAATTAGCAGTTCCTTCCGGAGCCTCTGATCTTTTTCTTGGGATCTTTTTCCCTATGTAGTGTTCCACCCCCACTGCATGTGTTTGATATGCCTTGAAGGTTTTCCAGAACTATGTCACTTCCCGAACTTTCAACTGAGCCACCGCAATATACAGCTCCTGACCTCCACCTCTACCTCCAGCTGGTCTCACCTGCTGGGGGCTCGGCCCTTCCCTTTGCCTCCTCCGCTCCATGCTCAGCCCCAGACCTTTTTTGGACACTATCCACCTGCTCCTCTGTCATCAAGCACTCAGCTACAGGCACTCGCCTCCTCATCCCCTACCCATTGGTGACATGTCAGGCCCCTTCAAGGCTGCTCTGCTACTCAGTTCTGCTCTTTGAATCTGGGCAGGAATAAAGTCCCGGGACTTCCATGGCTTTTCCTATCTCTTTAGAGGGGGCATTCTAGGGACTCAGACATGGGTTTAAGACCAAGAGCTGGGAGAGGTACAGCTGGATGTGGCCTCCCTTTTCAGTTCTGAATATTTCTGAGTAACCGAAGAGGATCCTGCTGAGATCCAGCTTTAGGTCTGAAGTGACAACACTTTGAGAGCTGGGGGAACTGGGGAGGGGGTTGAAGACCATTTCTGAAGGTGTCTCCAATCCAGAATCTTTCTCTCTCTGGCTGGAAAAAGCCAACATATCTGGGGGCTCGGGAGGGCCTCTGGCTGGGCTCTGAGTATGAATAGAATTTATTTATCCCCTGCAAAGTCCATCCCTAGCTGTTACCCCTTACTCTCTCCCCACCCCCAAGACCTCTTTCTGACCATCCAGTTCAGGCCCACGGGGTCTTGCTAATCCCAGACATTTCATTCCTAGCCAAGAAAAGCCCTGGGGACTGGGTGAATGACGGAGCCTCCGTTGTGAAACAACCATTTATTGGGGGGGCCTCCAAGGAGCCTGAAGCTCACCGCAGGGCAGGAGACTGGAGGGGGATCTGTCACACCCCCACCCCCGGCCTAGGAAAGGAGACGCCATGAAGCCCAGCAAGACCAGCTCACATTTGGCTTTGCAAGCACTGAGGCAGTTCCCTAGGCTCATCAACAGTCCGCTACCCCAGGCGGAGACAGACGCTCGCTTGGAGGAGGGAGACAAGCGGGGAGACAGAGTGACAGGACGGGAGAAGAGGGGCAGAGGGACCCAGAACGATCCGTCCCCCATGCCAAGTGACACAGAAGGGAAAAACAACGCTGGCGGCGGCTCCGCGGAGCGCTGGGGCGGGGGCAGGGTGGGCTCAGGGCGAGGGCCGCGGGGGGGATGGCGGGGC